AGTAGGCTCTTATGATCAGAAAACAAGCCCTCAACCAGCATAGCCTCTTCCTTTTTGAACAATAGCAACATCTGAAGCTTTTCGATGTCAAGTCCAAATGTCCGATCTCTGGACGCTGAAGACCTAAAAGAAAGGGAAGGAGACAACGGCAAAGGAGCTCGGGGACGACGGGGAAGAGAAGGAATCTAGGGGATGCAATAAAATCGAAATGAAATAAAATGATGTTAGGGATTTCAAAACTGGGGAAAAGCGGTGAACTGTTGAATGACTTATGTTGTAAATTCGGGAATGTTGTGCTCTAATCAGCCCTTCATAGTTTCCAAAATATACAATATATACCCGACACAATATCATTTAACTTCCCTTATGTTGAGCGTCTTTTATTGGAAGCGAGTACACTGTAGTGCTACAGTTGATTGGAAGCGAGTCGAGCAATAGACTAACTTTCACTATTTGTTAGAGTGAGTTTACTGGGCCAATAAAAAAGAGTTTAGTTTTCAATTTAACCCTAGAAAAGGGGTTTTAAAGTAATTATTATATAGTTTTATGACTTTATAAGTATCATATTATTTTGCTTAGTCTTTGGAAATTTGGTACCAAGTTTCGGGATACCGTTGGGGTATCAAATTGTGTTTCTTTTCTTTTCATTCCTGAATGTGGCTTTATATGAACCATATTAAATTATCTTATTATTGGTGTGATTGGTGATTTATTACCCATAAATATAATTATATACTAATATTAAAAGACATAAAGACCCATATACTAATATCTATAGAAAATATGTTAAAAAAATAAATTATTGAAAAAATAAAATGAGGCAATTATATTAACATTGACTCAAAGTCTCCTCAAACAAAGATAAAATGTGTTTGGAATAAAAATTAAAAATAACATCGGTCCATAGTTGACTTGGAACAGTAATGTAACATTGACTTGGAAAATGACAACCGATCAATTATTGAATACAGGTAACACAAATTGACTTAATAATTAAGGTAAGCATTGACTTAATAATTAAGGTTAGCATTAATTACTTTATCCTTACATTTATTAATAGTTTAAATAATTGACCTTATATTTACTGATTTATCCTTATATTTATTCATATAATTATATATAGCAATTATGTCATTATATAATTATTTTATTATAGTAATTACTATATTAATTGACGTTAATTATGGTTCTAGTATTAAACTACTTTATCTTAGGAATCATTTAATTAATTGTCCTAATAATTAAGGTAAGTATTAATTACCTTATTTATGATTATATCTTTTAAACATTAATTATAAGTTAATATTATAAATTTAATAGAAATATAAACATAGTTATCTTAATATATAAAAATAAAAAATAAAATAACAATTACTCGCGAGTGTCGATCGTCGGTGACCAATGCCAGAAACTAACAAAGTATCCCAAGAATATATGACAACACTATTGACATCAGAATGTTGCTCTTAGGTAGCGTTTGGTTCAGATGATGTTATATTATTGAGGAATGTTGTATTACTGGAAATATAGATTACTATAGCATCTTTAGAGAAATATGTTTGGTCGGTTGGAATAAATTGATGGGTATGTTATAACAATATGTTTGGTTGGGAGGATAAATAAGTGGGTATGTTATGTAGATTACTAAATTGTCCTCATTTTAAAATAATAATATAATATTATTTTTATTATTATTTTATTCTATTATTATTTTAAATGATTTCTTTTAACCCCCCTATATTTGAAATTTTACCAAAACACTCTAACCATATACAACTTTAATTTATAGTAAAGTCACCCCCACTCACCCCAAAACACTACCGGCAGCCACCACCACCACCGGAAGCTGCTGTAATGGCACACGACCAGTCGGATCTGGCTGGTCATACATCGATCATGCCTAATCCGGCTAGATCTGGCCGTGAATATGGTCGTTTCACGGCTAGATCTGGCCGTTAATATGGCCATTTCACGACCACATCTTTGGCTGTGAAACAACCAAATCTGGTCGTTTTCGGTCATGGATCACAAATCCATGGTCGGAAATGTCCTTATCGGCACACGACCGACAAGATTCTGCCGGTCTTGTGCCGATATGACGACTTTCGCTGGTGGCTAGCGGTGGTGGCTAGCGGCCGGAGGTGGTCTTGGATGATTAAGGGTATTTTGTTAACTTTTAAACTTTTTTGTGCTGGGGGTGTTTTAGCTAAGTTCTCAAATATAGGGGGTCTGGGTAATTGTTATTTGGTAGACATATGAGGGCAAATGTGTCTGGAATGATAAAAAATTAAGGGCAAAATAGGGTAAAAATTATTATTACCCCGGTAATCTAACATTAACACCCCTAGAAAGGTAATCTGATTACCCCCAATATTACCAATAGTAACCACTATTTACAATAAAATATTACTGTAATATTATATTACTTGACAACCAAACGAGGAAATCTTGAAAATTAAACAAAGATTACACGATTTATCTTATTTCATCCCGAATCAAACGCATCCTTAAAGTGATCTATGGTATTATGTAAGAATAATTAGCAATTAAATTATGTTTTGGCTATAGGAGCTAGGAGGATGAGAAACTAAGGGCCGTCATTTCTCTCTCATGTTGTTGTGGTCAAACGCTACATATTCTTTTAATATATTTAATTATGAAATATAATAAAAAGATTTTTAGATTTGTTTGTATTATGATGGTAAATTGGGAACTTCAAATTTAAGTGTTTGATATGAATTTTTTTAGATTAGAATGGTTTTTTATATTTTAAATTCAATCAATTGGACTTGTATAGATATGTGATCAAAATATTGGAAAAGATCCCCAAAAATATTAAAGTTGGAATTTTACTTTTACTTTTTGATTTATTTTTTCAATATGATAATATTCATGGAAGCAATTTATTGACTTGAAAATGTTTGAGTATTTGTAGGTTTAGAGTGGCTATCAAAATTGAGTAATTTGGAGGGACTACCTTTAGGAGTCAACAAATTCAATAATAGTATCCTATCATCTCTAACTGGTGTGTCCTCATTAAAATATTTGGATCTACAACTGAATAATTTGAACGAGATTATTAATATTCAAGATAATTAGCTATCTTCTCATTCTCATAATTTCAACATTTTTTTTTTCACAATATAATATGGCTTTTAAAATTAAATATATGAAACAGTTTAATTTTGCTCTGCTTTTTGCAACACCCACCTCAATGAAACCCCTAATTTCGCAATCCTCTTTACCCCTTTCATTAATTATGTTCAATTTTAATCCCAAAATTCAAATCTTTTCATTCATTTTCAAGTGATGGAGAATTGATTACTAAAGTTCAAGTTGAAGGGGCGGGTAGGTTTTGCATCTTGGAGCCGGATCCTTTTCTTGATTTCGAAGGAGGATCGAGAAGCCTTTACTCGACTTAGTAATTGCGGTTATAGTGGGGATTTTAAATTGGAGAAATACATGAAAAAGTCTTTTGTAATATTTTTCTAAACATATTTTATTTATGACAAATTTATTAAAAATATTATTCAAAACATATTGTAAAGATTCTGGAAAAATTTCAACTATTTAATGAAAGTCTCCATTCTTTTATTAACCCAATGGATCAAATAATTGCTTACTATTTTATTGAACATTGTGTTTTGGTTTATACACATAAATATAAATATATTTATATCCGGTGAATGCTATTGAAAGGGGTGATGGAGTTTGGGTACCTTAGGATTTTTGGAGGAACTGGAACCGATCGGTTCTCGAAATTAGGAACCGGAACTAGAACAGACCGGTTCCAATTTCGGTTCTGGGTACCCTAGATAATCACAGGTTCCAGTTCCGATTCTAGGTACCCTAGATAATTCAGTGGTCCCTATAACTTTACAAAATGACAAAAAATCTTGTTAAATTTACAAATACACCCCCATTTGTTTAAATATTCTATAACAATATAACTTTTTTCTTATTAATTAATTTCAATATTTCAAATAATTTTAATATATAGTCTTACTTTTAACATATAGCGTAAGACTATATATTAAAATTATTCATAGCTTCTTCATATCCAAAATCCAAAATCCAAAATGTTCACTAGTTATGCATATAGTCTAGGAGTAAAGTTTTTAAAACCCCCCAATGTTGTATACTAGTTGCAAGGTACCTTGTTACCGGTTCCTTGTAAGGTACCTTGTTACCAGTTCCTAGCAGGGTACCCTATTCTATGTTCCGGTTCCGGTTCCCGATTCCTAGAATGAAGGAACCGAAACTGGAACTGAGGGGTCTCGATTCCTCTTTTTTTAGAATTGAAATCTACCCTGTGAGGGTCGGTTTCGATTCTTACCTGGAATCGAGACCCCGAGTACTTGCTGGTTCCCAGTAGAACCTATTTTCATGCTCACCCCTAATTGAAACAATGTTTTTAGACATGAAGAACGCATCAAGAAATTATAGATATTGAGTACAAAGTTTTATATTTATTATTTTATTCAAAATTTAAAATCCTCTGAATAAATTTCCAAGAAACAGCACGCACACATTCATAGAGAAAATCAATTTTGTGATGAAAATTCAACTTCTGGTTGTTTAGAGATTTAAAGTTGTTAAATTTGTGAAGTTAATTTCCCTCATAAATACTTTCCCCAAAAGTTATAAATTGTACAGTCCCTAATTCTAATTTGGATTCATCAAAGGAATTTCAATTGAGCAAAAAAGTAAATAAATTAATAAATTAATCGATTCATACTTATTTTTTTTCTCAAGGTCAGGTCCGGTAGTTTTTGCCTTTGGAGACTAAAGTATCAGTTCTCGAAAGATTGGGATTAAGAAAAATCCACAACATTAAGGACGAATATCAGACATTTAGACTCCACATGTCTCTTTTCACGTGGCAAACTATTATTGGTTCTGATTTTTGAACTCATTCTACAGCTCTAATACTTATCCCACCAGATTACTCATGTAAAATGAAAAATTCATAATTCGTAGCTTTCATCAAACTTTTAGAATTTAGATCCACCGTAAACTGCTGAAAGTCCCCGTCGCGCCGTCACAAGCTTTTCCGGTGACAAGGACACCGTCAGGCAATTGTGTATATTTCTTTTTCTTCTTTTTATTTTATTAGTGTTCTTTTGAAATTTGTTGATATTTGTAAAATGCAAATCTCCTTTTTTATTTTTTATTTTCTTTCATTCTTCGAAAGAAAATTTTGCATAATTAAATTCTGCATGTTATTTTGACTAGAAATTTCCGCTAAATTTTGCTTAATTAATGTACGATAGGCTTTGATCTTATTTACCATTTTGTTTTTATTGCAGATTTTGAGAGATCGGCTTTAGATGTTGAGTGTTGAGAATAAAGTGCAATGTGAGGAGATTGAATTAGTAGATAAAGGTGATGACTCCATTCCGAATTCTTTGTTTGGAGCGATTAAACGATGTTTTGTTGACAGGATTAACAGTGAAGTGTATGAGAATGTGGCTGGGAACTTGGTTTTGAGGTAGATTTTCGGGATTAGTTTTAATGGTCCTTTTTTGGCTGCCAAAGGAGGTTGGTTCATCATTTATAGTGCTTGAATCATCTTTGGTTAGAGACCCTGTTGTTATAAAATCTTCTGGGACGTTAATTCAGGGAATAAAGGTCAAGTTTGGTTCTGCAGAAAGTGGGCTCGGTTGTGTCATCAACTTCAAGGAGGTTTTATCTTACTAATGATGTTGAGTCACAGATGGTGAGATCGTTATCTTTAGATGTGGTTTTGTCAGGGTTGGATTTGTCATCAATTCTAATTTGGATTCGTCAAAGGAGTTTTAGTTGCGGGGCAGTTATTTGATTCCGTTATTTGCACAGCCCATTTATCCATTACTCTTGGTTTTGCATGATATATTTGCCGATCTCCCATCAATGTTAAGAGCTCTTGCCCTTGCAGAAAAGATGCTTTTTGATGTGAACAGAGGAGAAGTTGTGGATACTCAAGTTATTTTTTAAGTTTCACTTTTAACAATGCTGGTCGGCTACCTATCAATAAATTAAGGGATTCTAACTCATCTAATATTGATTTTTCTGAGCTTCCACTTGAGGATAAATCACAAGCACTCCTTGCACAGTCTCTCCAAAGTCAAGCTAAGAAGTTCAAGACTATGGTAGCAGTAGTGGGTGCTAGTTACTTAGCTGGGCTTTCAGAACATTGGAATACTCCTATTCCTGATAAGGTCAAAGATTTGATTGGAGAGTCAGTTACAAGCTGCAAAGATGATGGGGATATTTCAAATCACATGGATAAGAAGCGTTTATTATCTAATAAACTTGTCATGGCTGTGGGTGCTGGAGCAATTGTTGTTTTAGGAGCTTCATCTCTCACTAAACTTCTTCCTGCATCAACCTTCATAAAGGTTGTGAGGTTTAAAGCTTCTATTTCACTTAAGTTTTTCTTACCCAATTCCAAAAAACAATGGTGATAGCTTTAGGCAAGACTCGAGTTTTTGCCCCAGGACAAGCAACTTTTGGGTCAAATACATATATCTTAAAGACAGTAACTTCTGCTGAGAAAATTCGGGGCAATGGCCCACCATGTTGCAGCATCTGTTAAGAAGACCAGTTTTCAACAATTAGAACAGCATTTTATGAAATAGTGAGAAAAAGGCGGGTACCTCCAATCAGTGTCCTACCATGGGCTACATTTGCAGGTAGTATTGTAACTTGTGCTGATTGCTTGTGTATGGAGATGGGGTTGAATGTGTTGCTGAATCTTCGCCCATAGCTCCTTCAATTCCCAATTAAGAGCGTGAGATTCAATATCTACATGAGGCATCTCAGAAAATGAATCAAGACAGATGACACCATGATTAAAAAATCTATTAAATCATCGACGTACATGTTGAAGAAATTATAGATTGAATAAAGTAAGACTTCAATTATTTTCTTATCAATGAATAGTATTTATAGTTCTACTCATTGATTATTTTAAAAAGTTCCATAAATTAAAGATGACAGATTCTTATGCACAAATTGAGTCTGGGCAGCATCGATTGTATCATCATGGGTGTTTAAGTTCTAATCATAGAGTTCTTTTGGTGCACCAATGAGTACTCCAATGTTTTTAGACTATATTATATAAGTCTTGAGATGATGCGGTTCTTAGTCCTTACTTGTCTACTTCCTTCTCTTTTGCAATATCCTGATTTACTGTCTTGAAGCATAATTTTATTTTTTCATTTCAAGAATCTTTAAATTCTTAAAGTTACCTGTCTACCATATTACTGTTGCTTGGTTTAGCACTTTGTGGGCTTAGTGCAGTTTTTCTCATCATAATTTAATTGAGTTGAATTATTTTTTTCACTGAATTTGATATATTAGAACAATGCAATTTAATTTCTAAAAGGTATTATGATAGAGTTGTAGTGTTGATGTTGATGTTGATGTTTTCTTAGATAATTGGGCTTGGATCCAAAGTGGATATTCTTATATAATTAATGCAATTATCACTTAAATATTTTGGTAATGTAAATTGCTACACTAATAACATTATGAGTAATACTATACCAACAATCCTCTTTCACAAATTTTCTCTTACAACCCTAATATGGTAGATTGCAATTGGTTTTTTATTAAAAACTATTTCAAAATTACTGAAAACTTTTTTTCTTTGGAATTGCTAAGAAAATTCTAATTAGAAATATATTAAATATTAATAGATGTTATTGAAATATTATATTCATTATTGAATATCTAATATTATATTACACATTATTAGAAGTAACTATGGAGGAAATCATTCTCTTTGTAGACTGCCATTGAACAAAAAGTTGCAGCCCATTGAAATCGGCATCATTAGCATTAGCACCAAAAGCTTCATTAGATAATATAGAAGACAATAGTGAATTTGTTGATAGAGACATTTTCTATATAATTTTTTTAAATAAAAATACTTCGAAATATTTCAAAAGTTTATCCACAATTTTTTTTTGAATTGCTGTGATATTCTATTTATTAATATTGTAAAGATTTCCAAAATTAAATATTCAATATCTTTATTAATAATAATAATAAACCAATTCAATTGGACCGTTTTCACCTCAAGAATTTAATTCCAACCGAGTTAAAAAAAAAAAAAAAAAAAAACAGACTTATCGAATTAATTTTATCAAGTCCCAAAAAATCAATATCATTACATCTACACCCAAAATTAGTAAAAATTCCTCAAGTCTCAACCAAGACAAAATTGACATGTTACCCTCACCGAGTGGGGTTTAAATAATACTGCTTACTCCGCATGAGCCCATTTCTTTCGCAGAAGCCGAAACAGCTCTGCTCTGCTCTGCTTTTTACAACACCCACCTTAACAAAAACCCTAATTTCCAATCTTCTTTACTCCAGTTATCAATTCTATTCAATTTTAACACCAAAAGTCAAATCTTTTCATTCTTCAAGTGATGGAGAATTTGGTTACTGAAGTTCAAGTGGAAGTGGCGGGCGGGTATTCAGATCCTGGAGCTGGATCCTTTTCTGGGTTCCAAAGAAGGATCGAGTTTCATCCGGCTAGAAAAGTCTTTAGTGGGCTTAGTAATGGTGGTGACAGTGGGGATTTTAAATTGGAGAGATGCTGAATTCAAGTGGGTCGGAGCAGAAGAAAGCTGGGACGGGTCAAGGACAGGGTCCGAGTGGTGGGTCGAGGAAGAAAGTTGATGGGTCGGAGTTTTGGGATTGTGGGTTGGATCCTGAGCTTAGTTTTGGAATGACTTTTCGGAGAATTGTGAGTGTGTTTAGTTTGTAAAGATTGCTTTTTTTTTTTTATTTTTTTAAATTCTATGGCTTTGAATGAGTTTTTTCTGTATTGATAATTTGTTGCAAATTCGATCGTTTCGTTGTAGTTTGATTTAGTTCTGTTGAAGGGCAATTGGTATGTTACAGGGAGAGAAATCCCGGTATGATAACAGTAATTTATGAGTATTTGTTAGTTTCATGGTTATTTGAGGGGAAATGCTATGTTGCCAGGAGTAAAATTGTAGTATGGTTACTGGAATTAACGGTTTTGGTAGTCCATATGTCTTTAAAAATGTGCAATGAAACTAATAACGAAATACCGGTCATAAATGATATTTGTTATCATTTTGTATTCCATCAGTGCTGCCATAGTTTAAGATATGTTAAATTGCGCTTATTAGTTGGTGATTTCACTCAAAGACTCGGTATTTTGTTGAATTTGGTATTTCAAATAAATTTGGTGTCAATTTTTTCAATGGCAAATGTATTGACTCTTTTTAGGTAATAGCTATGATAAACTTGGTTTTGCGTTTAACCTAAACTTGTCTATATTGATATGTATGACTTACAGGGTGCTGGTCTTGAAAATCTTGGAAATACTTGTTTTCTCAATTCATTGTTGCAGTGTCTGACATATACAGAGCCTTTAGTGGCATACTAAGCTTGCAGAGTGGCAAGCATCGAAATTCTTGTAAGTGGCTTTCTCTTTCTGCTCAATCCTTACTTTTTTTTGCTTTTTATCTCCATGAACACAATAATATATGCATGCAGATTTCTGAATCAATTCATGTGTCTAGCTGTACTTTTATTTCTTATGATGGGGTTATAGAAGCATATTTAGCTTTGATATCGATCTCTCATGGATATGTAGTGGCTTCATTAAAAATAAAGTTCAAAGACTTCCATAGTTGTTTCAGAAGGTTTTGTGGTTTATTTATGTAGGATTTCTAGATTAGAATATGTCTCTTTTGCCATTTCCCAAATGTCCTTCGCAGTGGGAAGAAATAAGAACAGCCGTCCAAACTCCTCTTCCATCGAGTTGATCAACCAAGTCATAACAGTGCTATTCTCGGCATCCCATTCTCATATGCCGAATTATCTTCTTCTTGAGCTTTAACACTTCCAGTCAAGTGGCCCAACTTTCCTTTCCCTCTTTATCATTAATTTCATAGCCTGAGATCACGGTACATAATTTCTACCATTCAGTTTATGAACACTAATTTGAATGGAGTCTTGGTCCAAATTATTATGACTAGTTAGATGAAGCTGATCCTTGCTGCTTGAGGAGGATCTTGACCTTGAATCCCTTGGAGGACTCTTGCTCCCTGGGGTCCTTGGACTTATCTCCTGTCTTCAACTGGCCATAGCACTCCTCGCCATTATTAATTTTTCCGGCCAGAGGAACCTGGCTTTGATACCATGAAATCAGGAGAAAACAAATCCTGATAATCTTTTATTTCAAGCATATCTTATTGTATACCCAACATACTCTAGTGTGATCATGGAGAATTTGTAATACAATAAGATAATGATCATGGAGAATTTGTAATACAATAAGATATGCTTGAAATAAAAGATTATCAGGATTTGTTTTCTCCTGATTTCAATGTACTGTCACTACGAGTGGGCTCTATGGATGATGATTTTAATGTCTTTAATAATATGGAGCAAAGCAATTTGACATCTTTGGACACCATGATAACAGGCCTTGCAAAGAATGGTCTAGGGGAGGATGTCGTCAATTATTTCTCTCGATTCAAGCGAACAGGACTAAAACCGGATGGTCAGATTTTCATCGGGGTTTTCTTTGCTTGTAGTGTTTTGGGTATTGTGATGAAGGAATGTTGCCCTTTGAATCAATGATCAATGACTATGGGATTATTCCGTCCATGAAGCATTTTGTGAGTACAGTTAACATGTTGGGAAGCACAGGGTATTTACATGAAGCCCTGGAATTCATTGAAAAGATGCCAATGGAGGCAAGTGTTGATGTTTGGGAGACGATGAATATTGTTTGCAGAATTCATGGGAATTTGGAGCTTGATGACCTAGGTGCTGAGCTTGTTGAGCAGCTAGATCCCTCTTGTTTGAATGAGAAGACAAAGTTAGGCCTTGTACCTGTTAAAGCATCGAATATTGTGAAAGAGAAAAAAAAGGAGAGAAAATACCATGACTTTCAAACAGGAGATACATCTCATCCAGAGAGTGATAAGATATATGCTCTTATTAGAGGTTTGAAGGCTTAAATGAAAGAGGCTGGTTAATTCCAGAGACAAAATTTGTGCTATATGACATAGACCGAGAAGGTAAGGAGGAAGCTCTTCTTGCTCATAGTGAGATACTTGCTGTATCGCAAGGTCTCCTCAGAAGCCATGCCCGTGCTACCATTCGGATAGTAATGGACTTTCGTATTTATGGTGATTGTCATGCTGCAATGAAAATCATCTCGAAAATTGTTGGTAGAGAACTCGTTATACAGACTGAGGAGAGATTCCACCATTTTAAAGATGGATTGTGCTCCTGTCGGGACTATTGGTGACCACATTTGAGTCTAAGTTAGTTAGCACTATTTGGGTTGGTAGCACATCCAAGAGGCCAGAGACCAATTGAGGAATTTTGTAAGGAAAGATTTTGTTCCTCGTGTTCATACACCATGTCCAATTAAATAGATTTTTTATGCATTTAATCAGAAGAACAGGAAAAGTTCCCAAGATATATTTATGTTGTAATTTTACTTCAATAATTTTTTTTTTTTAATTTCTTGTTTTGTGAATAATGTTGTGATTTATTCGCCCGAAAATGTTTGATTATTTGCAGGATTTGAGTGACTTGGAGTATCTATATTTAAACTTCAACAGATTCAGTTCATTCCATCACTAAGAAATTCTTAAGATGGTCATACAATTGAAAAGTCTTCTCCAAGACAATGCCTACTCTGCTTGATAAAAATATCAGCATATCTTGCTTCCCTGCCTCCCTCCTTCCTCTGACCTCCAAGGATAAGTAAGCCAGATGAGCTATAATATCTTTATGTGTATTTTTCACAAAAAATCTGTGCATTTTAATCTGGTTGAATTTGAAAGAATTAGCCAACTATTAATGAGAAAAATTGCTTCATTGAGTTCATAGTCTTAAGTGTTTGAATGGATCTAAAATAGTCATAGACAGAAATACTGTTGCATCAGTAAATTTTGGATTTCAAACACTTTAATGCCTCTAAGCATAGTTTCTAATAATCATTCTTAAAATTTCCTAATATTTTAGAACTTGAAACACACCATTTTATGGCTTTTAGACTTGAAGAATGCAAAAACATATTACAATTTGTTCAAATTAAAATTCCCTAGAATCAATTTCCCTGAAACAACACACACTCACATGCAAAAATCATTGGCCAATTTAAGGAATAATTGCTTCTGTGATCAAGTTGCTCAATCGAAAAACAATGGGCAGAAATTGATGGGCAGCTCTGTTATAAGAGAGCAACTCTTCAAAGCTCAAACAAATTAAGAAGACCAGAAATTAATTGAGAAGTTGATTGAAAGGCATGGTAACTTGAACATAGATGTTTGTTGAGGAAGAAAAGAGATCCCCAAGTCAATAGTAAACTTGATCTATACCTATTATAGATAGCATAAAATGTTTGTTTTTGTGTGTGCCTTGTATGGGTTCAAAACGTTGATCAATCAACAGTATTTTATTATTTCTAATAATGATGGTGCCCTGGCACACACTTCACTTCACATGAGCATAAGGATCAAAAGGTCCAACAGGTGCATTTCCAAAATGATGATAAACCTGCAAAACTAAAATATATTTAAAAATACAGTACTTACAGACAAAAAAATATTTGGCATCCAAAGGAAAAAGCAATACACTTTTAATGTCAAATTTGGATTAATTAACGTCAAAATCAAACATTGCGTCAAACTCTTCTTTGATGTCCAGAAAATAAAATTTGGCAACTGCAATTACCTTTAACCATGCCAAAATTGATATGCTATACAAACTAAATGTTTTCCAGGTTGAGCAGTTAAAAAAACCAAACCAAATCGTAGAATATGCAACCACAGAAGACTCGCACCGTCCCTTTAAACAAATAAAAGACAAATTCAGTGCAATGTTGTTTCAATTTTTCTTCATTTTTCACCAAGGATTTCACCAGTTAGGACTTTCTAAGATATGGAACTTATGTAATCAAATTTATCAGTTATTTTGCCAGAATTTGTAGGTTCTAGTTCAAAGAGATGTTTAGCAGCAGCCTCACATATACTCAGATTATCGAGAACTCTACAAAAACTAAGCAAAGCTCCCCAAACACAAGCATTTGGCTCGAAAGGCTTTGCCCAATCATGTTATATGCCTCTTCTAGCCTTCCAACACGATCTAGAAGGGTCACCATACAAGCATAATGCTCCATCCTTGCTTCAATACCATGCTCTTTACACATGCTATCAAAAAATTTGCAGCCTTCGTCAACTAGGCCAGCCATGCAAAGCTGATAATACACAAGTGACGTTACTAAAACAAGGCTTTTGTCCACTTCTTTGCATCAAATGAAAAATCTCTATAGCTTCTTTAGCCTTTCCATGCAAAGCATATCCACGCATTATAGCGTTCCAACAAACCAAGTTTTTTGATGACATCATATCAAAACAAAGTCATGACATTTGAATCCTTCCACACTTTGCATACATATCACTTAGTATTGTAGACACGTAAATATCACCAAATATTTCTCTTCTGATAGAAAAGCAATGAGTTGCCTTCCCAATCATCAATGCGGCAACGCTTCCATAGGCTGATAGCAAGTAGGGTATTGTAACATTGTTTGGCGTCATCCCCACTATCTGCATCTCTCTAAAAAGTTCCAATTCCTCAATACCTTACCATTTTGTGAAAAACCAGCAACCATTGACGTCCAAGACACAACATTTAATTCCATTCCTTGGCTCTCAAATTGCCTAAAGACCTCCAATGCATTTTCAACAGGACCATTTCCTACAGAGACCTGTAACAAAAGCATTGCAATCATTTACATCCTAATTTTCCATTTCATGAAACACTTTGGACATCTTCCATGTACACCCACACTTTCCGTACATATCAATAAGTGAACTACTAATGCAGTTGTTCTCCAATAAACCTCCTTAATCACAAAACCATGAATCTGAATCCCAAGTTTGGGATTCCCCAAGTCGCCCACAGCGGAAAGAACAATAGACAACACTGTGCTTCTCAAGGGTAAATCCTTCCAAACGCATCCTGTGAAACGAAAGAACTGCGTCTTCATAATGTCCACTATGATTAAACCCTGCAATCATACCATTCCAAGACAACACATTGGGTTCCACTCTTAAACAACCTATCTCGTTAATGAGTTTTTTGGCTACATCCACACACCCTTGTCGCTCGTAAGCCACAAGCAGAGCACTAAAAGTTTTCACATCCGGTTGGGCTAATCTGTCAAACACTTTGTGAGTGTCCCTAATGTTCTGACATATAATGTACATACGAATCAAAGAAGACTAAAAAAACACTCGTATACAAACACCATATGAATCACATTGTCATCAAAGTCTTGGTGATTTACATATTGAGACAGAAGCTCTGTTGTGAGATCTGTGTCATTAAAGACACCAGTTTGGAGGATGTGAGCATACTGTCACGCACTTAACTTCTTTGCTAAGTTCGTGCGGCCTTAACTCGTCGGAAATGAGCTAAGCAGCCTAACGCTCACAGGCTAACAGTATATGAACGAGAGAGAAGTATAGAGAAAATATAAACTCTGTATATTGCTGGAATTCAAGTTATGAACTTTACATGGTGGAGTTGCCTATTTATAGGCTTAAGCTCCTCAAAGTAAATGAATGACTAAGCTATGTGTTTCAGCATTAAGAAACCATGGGTGGCACGCATGTGTGCAACCTTGGAAACGAAGCTCGTGGGTGGCGAGCATATGTGCAACCTTGGAAACGAAGGTGCTTAGTCGCCGAACCTAGCTGCTGAGTCGTTAACTTAGCCCCTAAGTTAACTTAGCTCTTAAGTTTGCTTCACCCTGAAGTACACTTAATCTGTGAGTAACGTGCAGCATGCTTGGGCAAGCAGGCTGGTCGTGACAATACGCTTGCCTTGTCTGTGATAAAGATGAATTGAATGAGTTGAGGGTATGAAAGGCGTTGACTGTTTTCAAAAAGGAGCACTATGCTTGCATGGTTGCCCTTCTAGTCATGTTGGCAAGCTAGAAGAGGCATATAACATAATTGAACGAATGCCTTTTGAGGAGCCAAAAGCAAAGCTCTTGTAGAGTTCACGGTCATGTAAGTATGGTTGAGGCCGCTGTTAGCATCACTTCGAACTCAAGGTCTGGTCAAGTAGTTTTTAGGACTAATGAAATATGGACTCCAAATATCTCTTCCCACGTGGCAGACAATTAATGGTTTTCATATTTGAACTATCCTACAAGAATAGTCCTTACCACACCGGATTACTGATAAGGCCAACATTCATTACTCACGTTCATCAAGAATAGTCCTAGCTCCTAAGTCCTTACCACACCGGATCCACCGAAAAACTTCCCGTCACGCCATTGAAATGGACACCATCAGGCCGGTATGCATTTTTCTATTATTATTATTTTTTTAATTTTCTTTCATTCTTGGAATGAAAATTTTGCATGTTATTTAAATATTAAATACTTCTATTTTGTCAGCTACGCTTTTTTGAATAGAAATTTTTACTCAATTTTGCTTAATGAATGTAGGATCGCTTGATCTTGTTGACTATTTTGTTTGTTACAGATTTTGGTGATGTTAATGTAATTTTAATGGCAATTGGATTGGTTTCAAATCTGCAAAATGTGTGGCCATTTTCATTATTAAAATCTGATGACTTGAGAGCTTCTGATGAGTTAGCTCGCAGGCTTCACATACCAAAACACACCAATTAGAGAACCTGAATCAAAATTGTGGTGTATATACTTTGTGCCCAGAATTTACTGGAGTGGTCGGCTTTAGGTGTTCAGAATAAAGTGCAATGTGAGGAGTTTGAATTAGGAGATAAAGGTAATGACTTGGTTCTTACTTCTTTGTTTGCAGTGATTAAACGATATTTTGTTGATAGGATTGATAAGAAAGCATATGAGAATGTGACTGGGAACTTGATTTTGAGGGAGATTTTTGGGATTGGTGGTAATGGTCCTTTTTTGGCTGCCAAAAGGGCAGCCAAGGAGGTTGGTTGATTGTTTATAGTGCTTCAATCATCTACAGTTAGAGAACCTGTTGTGGATAAATCTTCTAGGGAAGTTAATTGGGGATAAAGGTCAATGTTTGGTAAGTAGTTTGGTTCCACAGAAAGTGGGCTCAGTTGTCTCATCGATTTGAGGAAGTTTTATCTTACTAATGATGTTGAGTCACTGATGGTGAGATTGTTATCTTCAGATATGGATGTGTTTGAGTTGAGATTGAGGCCTCCCAATTCTAATTTGGATTTGTCATGAGACGTGGTTATTTGCACAATCCATTTATCCATTACTCTTGGATTTGTGTGATATAATTGCTGATCTCCCATCAATGTCAAGAGCTCTTGCCCTTGCACAAAAGATGTTTTTGATGTGAACAGAGGGGAAGTTGTGGATACTTAAGTTATTTCTAAAGTTTACACCTTTCGAATTGTAGTTGAGGGGTTGAGAATCACTCTTAACAATGTTGCTCGACTACCTATCAATACATTAGGGATTCTAACTCATATAATATTGATTTTTCTAAGCTTCCACTTGAGGATAAATAGCAATCATTCCTTTCACATTCTCTGCAAAGTGAAGCTAAGAAATTCAAGATTGTGGAAGCAGTAGTGGATACTAGTTATTTAGGTGGGCTTCAGAAACATTGGAATGCTCCTATTCCTGATAAGTTCAAACATTTGATTGGGGAGTCTATTACAAGCTGTGAAGCTGATAGGGAAACTTCAAATCACATGAATAAGAAACGTTTATTTTCTAATAAACCTGTTGTCGCTGTGGGTGTTGGAGCAACTGCTGTTTTGAGGAGCTTCATGTCTCACTAAACTTCATCCTGCATCAACCTTCATGAAGGTTGTAACGTTTAAATTTCCTGTTTTGCTTAAGCTTTTTCTAACCCAAGCCTAGAAAGCAATGGTGATAGCTTTAGGCAACACCAAAGTTTTTGTCCCAAGACTAGGAACTTCTGGATCAAATACTTCTGTCTTAAAGGCAGTAACTTTTGCTGTGAAAATTTAGGTAGTGGCCCATAGTGTCATAGCCTCTATCGAGAAGACCAGTTTTTCAACGAGAACATCATTTTATGAAAGAATGAGAAAAAGGCGGGTACGAACAGTCGGTGTCCAATCATGGGCAACAAACTTGCGCAAGATTGCTTGGGTATGGAGATGGGATTGAATATGTTGCTAAATCTTTGCCCGTAGCTCCTTCAATTGCCAATTTGAGGCGTGGATTCAGTATCTACATGAGGCATGCCAGAAAGTGAAGCAAATAAATGGCACCAAAAATTCAACAATCTATAGAATCACTGACTTACAGGTTGAAGAAAGTATAGATTGAATAAAGTAAGAATTAAACTTTTCTTTTATAAATGTATAGATTAATTCTACTCATTGATGATTTCAAAAAGTTTCAATCAGTTGATGATGAGAGATTCTTGTGCACAAATTGAATTTAGGCAGGATTAATTGTATTATCATGGGTGTTCAAGTTCTAATCATAAAGTTTTTTCTGTGTACTTTCTGAACTTCTTTTTTCCAACTTTCGTACTCAGTTTGACAAAACTATCTGGATATCTTGCTTCTTGTTATATATAATATGTTCATATATATTCCGCAAAAATAATTTTCTATTAGTGAGGAAATTTACTTTATTGAGCTCAAAGTTTAAGTGTTTGAATGGATTTAAAAAGGGTCATAAAGAGTGTTGTATTAGAAAATTTTGGATTTCAAGCACTTTAATGCTACTTTATGGCTTTGTTATTCTTCCCTTGTTACTTGAATTACAACTCAGAAAAAATAACCAAGGATGTGAAACGAAAATTTAGCGTAATTAAGCTATTCATATAATATATGATTAGTGTTTCCACGAAGATAACTTCAGTGTTCTAATGATTTGTAACTTTACTACAATTCTAAACACCGGATGTTACACCATTCATCAACGTCATCACCGTTCATCACCACCACAAATTCAATGCCTGCAACACTGTCCGGAATTTAGTCAGCAAAATTCACTCACGGCAACGCCAAAGCAAATTCAGCAAGAAAAATTCACTCTGAGAAGCTGAAAGTCAAACACAAATAATACACATGAGCCAATTGCTTATATACATGACCTTGAGTACAAGCTGGCCACCTAATCAAGCACAAATGATAAATGCCTTTAAACAGGCTACAACCTGAGCATCTCCCAGCTTGTTCTTCAAAAGAGTGTAAACAAAACGCAGTGTTTTGTTTAAGTAACAAACGGATGATTAACGGAACTTGAGGCTACCATTAGAAAGTATAGACCATTAGGTCTTTGGTTGATTTTTACAAGTCAGGATCAATGGTTGCTGATAGAAATTAAATCTTCCATTAAAAAGATGTAGCCTTTCATAATCCAATTTTTAACCAATCGAAAATGAAACTAATTACTCTCACATTAGGTGGTAGACAAATAATAAAGTTTGCAATATTCTTCACAGTTTTACCTTCGAACTTGTCAACCCAAAACACATCTTACTAGTTAAGGGACACCCTAAGTTATATACTATACAAAAAAGAAGTGCTTCATGCTACAGATCTTTGTTCAGGACAAAATTCAACAACTCAAATCATTACTTTTCCACCATTAACGTCTTTTTTACTACCTGCAATCACAATCAAACTTGTGCAGAAAAATTATGCATATTAGCTAGAGAACACAAGTTCATTCTATTGTTCGAGCATTTGATCTGGAGCATTTTCTCATTACTTCTGGAAAATTTGGATTTCAAACACTTTATAAGTTTTTTTTGGGTATAATAATTGGTGGCCACCTCTTGCCCTTGCTACAATTTGAATCCAAGATCTCTTAGTCTCTTAACTCCTTAATCCATCCTTCTCTCCATCATGCCACAAGAGATGCTTAACACTTTATAAGTTTAATGCCACTTCAATTGAACTATATATTATTAATGTTTCCACGAAGATAACTTCTCTTACTTTAGTGATCCGTTTTCATAACTAATGGGTAAAGACTTTACAAATGGATGATAGCTTCAATAAGGATTCAATCTGTTCAAATGATTGCGTTGTCCATATTTTCATTAATCTCGAAGCTTTGAACTGCAAATTGTTAAAGTCGGACGTGAAGATAGATATTGTTATGCCTGGAAAAGTAGGGCTAACGCATAAGCCTTGTCAACATGGGTGGTCAGAGCTTAAGAAAGTTCTACAACCGCTCAGATGCAACCACGTCGCGTGATGACGTGAGCGGCATGCTCCTGCCAGTGTAGTAGGTGTACGCTAG